TCTCGAATATAAGTAAATATAATATAAAAAAATTTATTAAATATACAAAAATAATATTAATAATAATTATTTATATATAAATTAAATTAAAACTTTTTAATTTTATTATTCATTATTAAACATTATTAAATATTTCATTCGATCTTACTTATTAATTTATATAAATTTTTTATATAAATTGAAAATAATCTGCTGTGATTTATTGTAGGGTGGTCAATATTTATTCATAGAGCATATACCTGAAAATGAAGGAATTTTTATACGATGGTTACAAAAAGTATTATCACAAACAAAAATATGGCCATTATTTTTTGGTGGTTGTCATTTAAATGTTGATCCTATTATGCATATTAAAAATGCTGGCTTTGATCAGATTACATGGAATACATTTACTCTTGAAGGTTACGTATCTCAATTTTTTCATTTAATTCTTTCAAAACAACATATATTGGGTGTAGCAATTCGATAATTCTATTTAAGAAAATAAAATTTTATCTTAAAATATTTTAGGATTTAAGATAGAATATTACTTTTCCAATAAAATTTCCAATAAAATACACTTATATTTTTAATAAAATTTGTGTATTTCACTTATGTTTTTATTTTAATTGTATTTAATGATACTACTACTTTCATTTTTTTTTTTTAAGTTCTTTAAGATATTTTTATATTATTTCTTTCATTAAATATATTACTTTATATTTCATCTTTTTTATTTGTAATTTAATATAAACAACATACACTCTGTCTTTCTCTCTCTTTCTCTCTCTTCCTCTCTCAATTTAAAAAATTTAAATTGATATAATTGTATTTTCAAAATTTAAATATATATTGTATATTAGATATACATATTATATATATTATAAATTAAACTCATAAAAAAATTATATAATGCTATTTATGAAATAATTACATATATACAATTAAATAATAAAAAAAATATGTGAATAAAATTAGACTAATATTGTAATAAAAAATTATTTTTAATTAAATAAAAGACATAAATTATTACATTTTAATATAAATCATGATAAAATATCATAAAAATAAATCGGCATGAATCTATGTTAAAACAATCACTTTTTATATCGAAATTGGAGATCTCTTCTAAAATGAAATATAATGTAATTTACGTGAAATTAAAAGAAATATAAATTATTATTTTGTTGGTTTTAAAAAAAAATAATATGATGATAAATTGGAGATTTTGCAGCAAGAAAAATTTTATTTTTAATAGTTTTTTAGTTATGACATGTTATATACAAAAATAATTTTACAATATTTAATGCATGATTGATGTAAATTCGATAACAAAAATTTTTGTAAAATTTGAATCTGCACTTATTATTGTTTTGTGCATTACAAATGTCAATTCAGATTTATTTCATATTTTTTGAATATCTATACAAATATTAATATATTTTTTTCATATTTAATTAATAAAGCAACAATAAGTCAAAAAATTGTATCCTTTATTATGTCTCTTATTATATTAACAAAAAACAATCATTTTTTTATATACATATTAGTGCAATTAGATTTTTATTTGGCAATAGAAATGAAAATTTATCAACTCTACTTATTATGTAAAAAAATATATATTTTAATCAGTAATTTTTTTATAATATTATATGAAAATATATGAACATCTTTTTCTAATATACTTAAAATTTGTCAAAATTAAATTATTTTTTTAAATGCAAAATTTTTAATTGTATTGTATTGATTATTAAAACAAATATTATATCTTTTATCCAAAACATTTATTGATAAATTTTTATATATTATGTGTATTTTAATATTTTAGTTAAAAAAAAATCTCTCAAAAAGTGATTGATTTGGCATAGAATTACATTTTTAAATTTAGGTTTAAAAAAAACTTAACATACATCCCATATATGAAATTTATACTGCATATCAGTTTACTTATATTATATCTCAACAATATTTGATTTTGTAAAAAATATTGCAATACAAGTTTATCATTTTATATTATGGAAGAAATTGTTTTTAAAATTTGACAAATAACAAAATACAATTATTTTATACAAAAATATAATGATAGTATGAATTACTTTTTAGTAATTTATTTTTTTGTCATCTAAGAATAAATTATTAAATGAGCAATGTCATTCTGTCAAATATTCGGAATCCGAATCAGAACTAAATATTTTTGTCTTAAAAAGTAAATGATTTACATGAGACTTTTTTTCAATTTGTGAAGTATTAACTTTAGATAATTTTTTTATATTATCTTTAATTAGAGTTTGTGCTTTAATTGTGCTTTGATTACAATCTTTTCCCACAGATAAATTATATTGTTGTAAAGATTTTTGTCTCTTGATTGAGTTAACATCTTCTTTCTGTGTTTTAAATTTAATATTTTTAGTCAAAAGTTCTGGTTCATTTAATGAAGTATTTAAATTTGAATATTTCATTACATTTTTTCTTGTTTTTTTATTCATATCATTTAAATTTTGATTTAACATTTTATAATGTTGTAATTTTAAATTTTGTGTATCTTTTAAAGTATGTACAAAATCTTCTTCATCAGAAGAGACCACTCGTGGTCTCTTCTTCTTATTACTCGTATATATACTACTACTTTCAGAACTTATTTCTGATTTATTGGAAGATAAAGTAATATTGTTTATGTTCTGATATACATTTTTGTTTAAAAACATATTTTTATTTATATTTGAACTTTTCTTACAAGAATCATTTATATTACTAAGTTTTTTATTTTTTATATTATATTTATTTTTATCAGCAATATGATTTGGTTGGTTTTTATCACTTGTTCTTCCTATTTTATTTTTAACATTTTCTTCTGTTGTATTTATTTTTCTACTAAATACTTTATTATTTAATTTCCTTTCTTTTTCATTATATTTTTCTTTTGATTTTAAAATATAATTATCGAAAGTTTTTGAAAAATCAAATTGAGAACTATTATCTGACAATAAAGATAAAGAACTAGACAAATCAAATGATGTATTACTACATTTATAAATTAAAACAGTACTTTGATCACTATTTGTATCTTCTGTTATTAAATTAATATTACTATAAGAATTAGTACCAGAATCATTATTAGAATAAATATAGTTTAATGTATTATGTTGAAAAAATTTATGAATATTTTTATTATCATTATGTGATTGAATAGATTCTGATATTAAATCATTTTTACTTAATTCTTTATTATTAATATTTTTATATTTCTGAATTTCAATTTCTGGTAATTGTTCTAAACAAACATTTAAATTTGAATTTATTATTTTTGGTAATACATTTTTTGATTTTTTATATTTCTCAATATCAAGTTTTGACAAACGTGTTAAACAAACAGTTAAATTCTTTAATTTTATCACTTCATTCAATTTTTTATGCTTTTGATTATTGATCGATAATTGAATTGAATTATTAATGTTTTCTATTGTCTTTCCTGATCCTTTATATTTTTCAATATCGTCTTTTGATAGTCGCGTTAGATAAATTATTGGATTTAAATATTTTATTTTTTTTGTTATATCATTAGTTTCTTTATATTGTTCTACATTTATTTTTTCTTCATAATTTATTAATTCATTAAATTTACTTTTTATATTTGTTAAATCGTTAATTGATGGATGTTTATTTATACTTTGATCAATGTTACATTTCTTTGACTGTTGATTTATTTTTGAATTCTTTTGAATAGTATTATTATTTATACAGATAGTTTCATTATTTTTTATTGATGTTTTTCTTAATTTTGATCTTTTTCTTTGTTTTTTATGGCTTAAAGTACTAAATTGTGTATTATTCATAAGATATTTATTATATATAGAAAATTGACTTTTTCTTTTTTTCCAAATTTTATATCTTTTTGATAATGTACATTCAAAATCTAATGCAGGATGTAAATTTTGTTTTGATTGAAATATTGTGTTTTTATTATTACTGTTCATGTTAATAAGATCAACTGGTGAATTTCTACCAGTGTATAATTTTTTTCGATGTCCTATTTTTATAATGCTATTTTGCAATTCAAAATTGTTTGTCAAACTATTTTGATCGATATGCAATATTTTCATATTTGATGAATTTTGTTCAATATAAGAATTTTTATTTAAATTATTATTAATTAATTTATCATGCGTATCAATTAAAAATGTGTCATCATTATTAATATCTACATTTTTCTGCAATTGTGATATATTTTTTTCTATATCTATATTTTCCTGTTGTAATACATGATTTAACACTTTATGAGTTTCATTTAATATGCAATGTTGCTGATCATTATCATTATTGTTTTCAGTATGTTCATTATTTTTTTCATGCATATTATTAGCAGTAATTTGTAATTTTTTAGTATTTTCTATATTTTGAAAAGTTTCTGTTGCATTATGTTTTGCTCCTTCTATAATAGCCATAGTTTCTATTTTATTAGTTGTATTCATATTTGACAAAATATATGTAGCAGTATCAACTGAGCTACTAGAAGACTTATGTGATGAACTTAAACATAATTCATTTGAATGAGATAATTCAATATCAGATTGTGTGTTTTTGTCTATATAAAGTTTCTTATAAGGTAAATAACCAGTATTTACCCAATATTGTATTACATTGAATGGTTTATATTCCTTTCTATAAATTTGATCTATTAATATAGATTCATTTTCAACAGGTTTTAATGATGAAATATTCAATACAGTTTCATCAGATGACTGAAACAAATTATAAACAATTATAAATATATTATTATTATATTAATGATCAGAAAAATATTATTACATATAAATATATATATTAAAATAAAATAAAATAAATTAAAATAAAATTCATACTTGTTCCGAATATCTATAAAACAATTCATCCCAAAATTGTTGTCTATGTTTTAAGATATGGAAAGGAATTCCAAATTTTTTATGGTTAATACCTGTAATTCTGAAATATATATATTAAAAAATATTAAAAAAATTAATTAAATATAGAAATAACTATAAAAACATGAAGCATGTATATATAAAATAATAAAATAGAATATATTATTTGTTAATGGTTTAATTATTATTATTATTATATATAATACATAAAATATTATCATATGAATGAAAATATATTAAACATACAAATATAATTGTATTAGATTAATTATATATTTAAAAACAAATTTGTTAACCTATATTAATATTTACCTTTCAACATTTTCGTTATAAGATATTGAAAGCGGTTCGTCATTAAATTCACTTATTTCACTTGGCATAGTATACACAGATAGTTTTAACAAAAATTATGAAAAATAATAAAAAAATATTAAATAACATGATAAAAAACTAAGTACTTTATTTAGTGTATTCAACATTTAAATTATTTAGTTACAAGATATTTAAGGATAATATCTATTGTATTTGCTATGTATTTTATATAAATGATATATATATTAAGCTATCGATATAAAAATTATTTGTATATAAAATCATTTGTATATAAATATTATTCTAATAAGAAAAAAATCAAAATAACAAAAATGAACAAAAAAGTCAAAATAATAAAAATCAAAAACAGAAAATATTCTAAATAGAAATTACAATGTTTGTTTTTATTATAGATTATTAAAAATTGACATATTTTATTAAAATTTTCTATATTACTTAACAAAAATTCATTTTATAAAAAATACATTTTGATTTAATTTACATTCATATTATAAAAAAATATTTCTGTAATATTATTCATTATGTAGCAGTTATTCTAGTTCCTTTTCTACTTAGTTATTTTAATTATTTTAAATAAAAAATGTAATTAATATATTGATAAAAATAAATTGTATTTAACATTTTTTTTCATCTTTATTTAACAATATTGTATTTTATTTAAAATAATTGTATTAAATTTATATCAATCAATCAAATTTAATTTTTAAAATAAAAGTTGGTAGTAGAATATTATCTGTTTTGCATTGAAAACTAGCCAAGAGGTTCAAGCGCATTGGAAAGTAGTGACCTTTCATGTCCTTAAAACCTCAGTTTCTGTTGAAGTGTGAACGTATAAGTTTGAGAATTTCAGTGTCTGCTCTATTCGTTGACTTGCTTCTCATTAAATTTGATTTTAATTTCAAGAATTTTGACAAGGTAATAGTTAAAATAAACTATATAATATGGTAAAATAATATATAAAATCATGCTATTATTCTTTAATGATTATAATCTTATAAGAATTTTGTAGTTTTGAAAATTTTTCACTATCGTAACTATAGAAATTTCAACATTTTTTTGTTTAAACGGAATTTCATTTGAATTTTAAATATATGTATACATTATAACATAAAACCGTCTTATTCATGAATGCATAAGAAATATAAGAAATATGTATAAAACGAGTATCGTTTTGACCTTGAAATAATATACGTACTTTAAATTGTTTTCTAAAAATTAAATAAGATTTAACAATGATTTTAAATCTTTCCTATTTTCTTTAATATTTATTTTATATCTTGTTTTATATTTATTTTAAATATGATTTAAAATAATATTAAACAATTTGAATATAATTTTTTTTTTTACCATATTTATTTATATTTATTATACATTTATTATATAATTTTTATAAAAATTTATATATATATAATTTTTTCATGAATTATATTATATATTTTTTAATAATATATGAAATTTTGAATTTCATATATTTCTTTAATACAAATATAACATATTATATTTGTATATAAAATAATTTTGGAATACATTTGGAATGATTTTATTTCACGATTATGCATTTTAATATATATTCATAAATTTTTTATAATTCATGAAATTTGATATCATGAAATTCATTATTGTTTTTTTATATATATCTATTATTTTTCAAGTATTTATATATTATAATTACAAAAGCAAAATTAAACAATAATTTTATTTTTTATAAATTAATATATGCTATATACACATACATACATACATACATATGTATATATAACACATACACAAACACACACATACACAAACACACACACAGACATATTGATATATATTATGCAAAAATATTTCATATCATTACAATGTAAAAATTCATATATGAGTTATACAATAAATTTTTGATTTTATATAATATTAATTCAAATTATTTTTATTTTTATAAATTAATAAAAGTATAATATAGATAGAATAAATAATAATTAATATATATATATTTTCATTTTTTTATTTATTACTTTTATTATTTTTATTATTATTTTTTTATTTATTATATCTGAAATATAATAATTTTGGATTATATATAACATTGGATTATATATAAGAAATATAAAAAAATATCATTCAAGCATATATTTCATTTTAAAGAATAATAACAATAATGTAATAACATAAATATTAATTATTGAGGTAAAAAATTGAAGTTTTATTTTCCTTAGAAAACTATACATGCATATTTCATTATAATTTTAATATTGTTCGTCTTTAATTCATTAATTTTTATTTTTAAGAAAAAATGATATTAAGAAATGTAAAATGATCTAATGTTAAATTATCTTGTACAAGTTCATTTTAGAAAAAATACAATAAAAAATATATCAATATAATGTTTTAAAAATCATTTTTGTAATGAAAAATAATTTGCTAATATAATGTAATTATGTAAAATTAATTTATTTTTTGAACTTAATACTTTGTTCCTATATACATGTATTACATATATCAAAATAATATTATAATAATATTATATAATATTAAACATGAAATATCATTAAAATTCTAGATTATAACTAATATTACAGTGATGCTCTATAACCTCTCGATAAAGATTATGATACGATATTTTAAAATTCTTTTTGTTCGAGAAAAAGAAAGAATAATGCATAAAACATATAATGATATCTATTAAATCATAATATTATACGACGTTTTACGTCATGATTGTATAATATATGATTGTAATAGTTTATCGTTAATCGTTTCAATTAAACTCGGAATTTGTTAAAGAAATGATATTATCTTTTAAATAAAATTATTGTGTCATATGTGCAATATGATTTGTAACATGTATGTACAACGTGATGATTTTATCATTTAATCCTCATATTAATCCCGTTATTCTAAATTAAATCTAATTTCATTGATAACAATTAATCAGATATATCTCTCTTAAGAATTATTTCAAAATATAATAACTTTATATTTTATTAAAATACAAAAAATATTTTTATATATAATATAATGATTAACTATTATTTAATATTCTATAAAATTACTTTTAAAGTTATATCTTTTGTTGAATTATTTAATATTTAAAAAAATTACAAGTTTCGTTGATATTTTATCATTTATAGAAATTTATAAAAAATTTAATATAATTCTTGAACAATACGGATTCATAGTTTTAATTATATTTAATTATTCAGATTATTCTACAATAATTATTTAAATTAAATTCTTGCTTAAATAATTCATATAAAAACATATGAAAGCAATAGTTTTCATTTTATTACTATCTTCATAACTTATATATATTTTAATTTTGTGGAAAATAAAATTTAATAAAATATTTAAATTTGACAATGATAGATGACATATAATATCTCATAATTTAAAATATTTCATTTAAATTCAATTAAAGTTTAAATATCATCAGACGATGGCGGTAATCAGTGCAGATTTATAATACATATACATTTTGTAAATTTTTTACATGATTTTTGGATATATATACATTTTGTACATTTTTATACGCTGATTTTTCAGGTTAATAATATTTTATTCTTATTTATATTACTTTATTAATTTATTACTAATTTTTTATTTGATTATAAATTAATTTTTATTTGATTTAAAATTACATTAATAAAATATAAGTAAATTGTATTATTTCATTAATGTATTATTTATTTTATTACATTAATTTATTATTTAATTACAAATTAATTTTTATTTGATATTTAAAATTACGATATTGATAAAATATAAGCAAATTATATAATAATTATAAAATAATTTATAATTTCGAAATATTCGATTATATTTCTATATTTATTTCTTATTATTATATTGTATTTATTATATTTATATTTATATTCATCATATGATTATATTTATATAATCATAAATATGTTGTATTTTGAATAATCTGTATAAAAATTAATATCGATTTGTATATATTTTGTATATATTTGTATATATTTAGTAATATTGTACTAAAATTAAAAATTATAATATTCCATTTTCATAAATATGTTTTATTATTTTTATATTAACAAAATTCGGTAAAATAAAAAAATCCTCCTATATATAAGATATATTTGTGTATAATATCTAATATGTAATTTCTTTAAACAAATTAATTAGAATGCCAGCATTTGAAATTTGTGCACGTCACTGCCATCGTCTACTACGTCCATTGAACATTTTCAATATTATCATGAATTTTCGATCGTCGCGATATTCCTATCACTTACCCGATAAACAGTTTACATCTTTTGTATCGAAGAATGCAGTCAATCATAGTTGCGGTATTATCAATACCGTACTACAATTAATTCCAGTTTCTTTATTTGTGCAGCCTGCCAAAATGGTATGGGTTACCGTCTATGATAAGGTATTTTAAAAAACAAGTTATTTTGTAATAGTTTTGTTATGTGTTGCTGCAATTTTTTTTTCTTAATTTTTCATTTTTTATTGCACGTGCATCATTGTTTGATTATATTAAATCATTGTACAAAATAAAGCCGGATAGATGATATTATGAAACAATTGAAAAAAACTTATATATTTCTAGTTCAAGAATTACAATATAAAATAAAGTGTGTAATGTAGTAGAGCATGTTATACTTAAATTTCAAGTTTTCTAATATTTCATTCATCTTTTAAATATGAAAAGTATTTAAAAGATTATTTTATTAATGATTCGTTTTGTAAATATTAATTTGTAGATATGGTTCGTAGATATTGATAATATAAATTACAGTTAATATTATTATTTAATTATGTTATTTACTGTTGATTGATTAATGTATTCTTACTAATATTGTTTTGCATTTGTTTATAAAATTATATTATTAAAGTAACAAATAACCCGAAATAGCACAACATGAATCATTATTTATCAAAATGGATGTATAATTATATAATCATAGACAAATTCTTCTTAATATCTTTAATTAGAATTGAAAAAATAAAAACAATATAAATTAACAAACATAAATTTGCAAAATTTAATAATTTAATAATAAAATATATATATTTCTTTTTAAATTCTGTATCATTATATCAATTATAATATTTTATCATCAAAATTATAATAATTCGAATTATTAAATGTGCCAAATTATTGGTTCATATTTATATAATGTGATATAAGAAGAATTTGAAAAAACGATTACTTTTAGCTTTTGAACTATTGATCTCTTTTTTGTGGTCCTCCACACAGTTACATTCTTCCGGAATAAGTATGTATTTGTAAAGTTATATTTTCAAAAGTAACTAATACTCTTTATGTTCGATTCATGAAAAACTATATTTTAATTTTTTTTATATAACTTCATA